ATTCTTTGGAAATGAAAGATATGTTGTTTGCTATCAAGTGGGTGAAAAACAGTAGAAAAGAAAGACGACTGCCTTGGTTTGTTCATCTGTTTATCTGCTATTATAACAGAATACCAAGGATAGGTCATTTGTAAAGAACAAAGATATGTGTCTCCTAGCACTAGGAGAACAGAAAGTCCAAGTCTGGGGACCAGGCATATGATAAGTGGTTGGGTTTCTGTTTGGTTGGTTGTTTGGTTGGTTGCTTGCTTGCTTCAATATCCCATAGCAGAAAGTTTGAGGTAGGCACCAAGTCATGAGAGAGTAAGACACGGGAAGGCAAGCCCACTATCTCACAGCAATAAGCCTAATCTCATGATAAAGACATTCATTCATTCATAGATCAGAGGACCTATGACTTAATTGATACCTGAAGGTCCCAGCTCTCCATGCTGATGTATTGAAAGCTAAGTTCCCAATAATGAACCAGCCTGCTTCCATCTTGGGCTTGAAAGCCATCTTATAATAAAGACAAATCAGGTTCATTCCTGTTCATCATTAACTCTCTGTTTCTCAAGGATTGAGCTATGCCCCACCTGTAACCTTAACTAAAAATGGTTCTGTATTACCTGTTCCAGGAAATGACAATCATGTCTTTGTTTCAAAAAGTTATTATGACCATATTGCAACCCTATTTTTGCTTCAAATACTGTTGTGACTACATTGTTATGACCAACTTATTGTATTTTGCTTCTATAACCCCAACTATTTGCCTGCCAAATCCCCCATTTGGGAAGCCCTTACCCCTGAGCTATAAATATCATTATCTTTCCCTTGTCCAAAGATGACCATGTGAACCCCTTCTTAGGGGAAGGCAGCCTGTGTGCCTTAGGGGAAGGCACATAAATTTTAAAAGTTTGCTTTAAATAATTTGGTCATGATGATTTGGGTTGGTGGTTTTTCTCCTCACACCTTGGGATTAACATCAGCACATAGACTCGGGGATAGACTCGAGCCAATACAGTTGGGTTTGTATTATGCACGAATGTGAAGGATAAACAGGTGGATGCCCAATGTTGTTTGTAAATCCACATTTGGATTTTCCCATTAAGCCTATTCAGCAGTAATCTATAAAGGGTATAAACCAGTGGTTCTCAACCTTCCTAAGGCTGTGATCCTTTACAACAGTTCCTCATGTCGTGGTGACCCCCAACCATAAAATTATTAAATTGCTACTTCATAACTGTAATTTTGCTACTGTTATGGATTGTAATGTAAATATCTGACACTCCATGCCTAAAGGGGTCACAACACACAGGTTGAGGGCCACTGCTATAAACTAGTCCATCATTTTCCTCCTGGTACTCAGCATTGAGGGCTGTACTTTGTTTGGCACGCTGTCTGCACCTACCACACCTCCCTTTAAGATGGGTCTCCAGTGTTATTCCCCCCCAGCTCCTTGCACCAGGTCTTTCCTTCCTAATCCTTCCTCCTGATTTTGAGGTACCCTTCTTATCAGCCACCTGAAACAGACCCTAGGGGAGCGTCCCTCAGGTGAAATGCCCAGCTGGATTAGATGGGAGCATTGTCTCTGCAGTTATAGGAACCTGAGTCTGGCCCTGTTGGAAGACAGGAAGCTGTGCTGAGAAAAACCCAGCTGTACACCAAATGGCCTAATAAGGGCTTTTTCATCTGTAGCTTCAAATTTAGAATGCTATTTCCAGTCCTACTTCAGATCCAATTTGTTAATTTCTCCAGATAGGAATAAATCTCATTTAGCTGTTTAAGAGGCCAGAAGGGTGGGGTCTGGGGAGATTTGGGTCTGATTGCACACCCGGTGCTCCATATTCAGAGTCTCCACAGAAACAAACCTAGTGACAACAGCTGAACGTGTAACATACACACACACACACACACACACACACACACACTCACATGCACATGCACACATGCGCACACACACAGGAAGAAAAGCCCTATGTGCACACTTGCTGTACAGCTATGGAATGTCTATGTGTTATGAGACTTTTATAAAAGCACTTCTTTGGCTTAGACTAGGCCAAATTATTTGCCAATGTTAACCCAGGAGGATTTTTTTCTATTTTTCACATGTGGCATGTTTGTGTTCATAAGTCCATGCATGGGTTTATGCCTGGTGACATGTGTGCATGTGTTCATATGCATGGGCTTGTGTGTGGTGATATGTGTGTCTACGGCATGCATGTGTGTGTGTGCATGGGTTTGTGTGCACTGACTGTTATGTGTCCATGTGGTGTACATGTATCTATGTGCATGCGTTTATGTGTGGTGACATGTGTACATATGAAAGCCCAAGGTTGATGCCAGGAATCATCCCCTGTAATTCTTCTAACTTTTGCATTGAGGCAAGGTCTCTCAGTTCAACCCAGAGCTCAGTGATATGTCTAGTCTTCATAGCCGGCTTGCTCTGGGGACCCCCTGTCTCTACCTACCAAGACTAGAATTATAGATAGGCCACCACATCAAATCACCATTTGCATAGTTTCTGGGGATCTGAATTCCTGCACAACCAGTGCTTTAACCACTGAACAATTCCCCCATCCCAAAGCCCAGAAAATTTATCATGTGGTTCTAAAATATCAGTTGAGCTCTACTACATTGCTCAGTTGTATTCAAAACGCAGTCATGTGTAGGAGAGCAAGACTAGACACAAAGATCACTGACCTGGCATTCTTATGGAGGTGGGCTTCTGTCATCCAAATTTAATCACATTTCTTCCTAAGCCAACTCTGAGTCTGTCTCCTCAGGAGATGCAAGCTGAATACAAGTCCCATGGCCCCAGCATTCCTGCTAAGTTTATCTTCCCATCAGACATGTCACCAGCCAGCTATATAGAAAAGGACATACTGGGTCCTTGGAAAGGCTTTCTTATAAAGTCCATCTTTAAGAGGGATGGCTCAGCAGTTGTGCTGGCTAGTTTTGTATCAACTTGGCACAAGCTAAACTCATCTACGAGGAATCCTCAATTGGAAACCTCAGTTGAGCAAATGCCTCCATAAGACTGGGTTTGGGCAAGCCTGCAGAGTATTTTCTTAGTGATTGATGGGGGAGGCCCCCTTGTGGGTGGGGCCACCTCTGGGCTGGAGGTCCTGGGATCTATAAGAAAGCAGACTGAGAAAGCCATGGGGAGCAACCAGTAAGCAGCACCCTCCATGGCCTCTGCATCAGCTCCTGCCTTCAGGTTCCAGTCCTGTTTGAGTTCCTGTCCTGACTTCCTTCAGTGATGGACAATAATGAGGAGATGTGGAAGTGTGAGCCAAATAAACCCTTTCATCTCAAACTTGCTCTTGGTCATGGTGTTTCATCTTAGCAACAGTAACCCTGACTAAGACCGCAGTTAGGAACACTCATTGCTGTTACAGAGGACCCGGATTAGATTCCCAGCACCCATGTCAGACAGCTCACATCCACCTGTGACTCTAGTTCCAGGGAATCTGACACACTCTTCTAAACTCCTGCGCACATATGGTACATGTAAACTCATGCATTCTTACATGTGTGAATAAGGTAGATGATTAGGCACACATACATACATACATATATACATACATACATACATACTAAATAAATAAATCCTTACAATGCTTTTGTAAAAAGTCAGTCTTCAAATGGTATCTGGGAACGTCACAATTGTTCATCCAGCCCTACATGACAAGAGTGGCCCACTGTACCTAAAGTGCCTAACAGAAGGTTTCTTCTTGGCATCTGCCATTCTTCTGGAAGTCTGCAGTCTTGGTCTGTGCTTGGAAATGAGTGCTTAGCTCCCAATAAAACCCGTGGGCACCAAGTCTCTAATGAATTCCTTCATAAGCAATGTGTCACACCATGTGTTTTCCCTGTGTGTGGCCGGGAAGTCAAGCATGTCCCCAGTGACTCCACAGGGAGAGGAATCAGAAATGCGTGTTGACTTTGTCTGGGCTCCCCGTGGGCATTTCTTCCTTTTGCTGGTTAGGTTGACAGACACATCAACCTATCTGTTCTCACAGTTTTGTTTTGTTGTTTGTTTTTTTAATTTGGGAGGTGCTATTACACTGCCACATTGTTTTGTTTCTTTTTCCATCTATATGATGTGTATGTGTGGCATGTGTGTATGTGCATGCACTTTGCATGTTAGGGGTGCATTGAATGTGTGTGCACATGCACATGGGGAAGGGGCGCATTGAATGTGTGTGCACATGCACATGGGGAAGGGGCGCATTGAATGTGTGTGCACATGCACATGGGGAAGGGGCGCATTGAATGTGTGTGCACATGCACATGGGGAAGGGGCGCATTGAATGTGTGTGCACATGTGCATGGGAAGGGGCGCATTGAATGTGTGTGCACATGCACATGGGGAAGCCAGAGTTGGTATCAGGAATCATCCTCAGTGTGTCTCTTACTCAATGAGCCAAGGTCTCTCAATCAAACCCAGAGCTCACTGATATGTCCAGCCTTGCTAATAGGTTGCTCTGGGAACCCCTCATCTCTACCCTCTGACGCTGGAAAGATAGGCAGGCACCCACACCCACCCAGCATTTACGTGGGTTTCTTTAAAAATGAAGCTGTCCCTTGTTTATGTCTTTCAAGAGCGCTTCCATCTTGTACAGACACTCATTATTCTTGGTCCTTCCAAAAAAAGAGGAATTCTGAGATCGGTATATTCTGGTCTGTTTCTTTATATCCGTTCAGTCTGGATGCCATGTTTCAGGAGGCACGAGTGTGACTGGAATCTGAATGTATAAGGGACATGATTCTGCTCCCCAGTGCCCTGGGAATGCTTTAAACTCCTGGCATAATAACAGAACTTTTTTTTTCTAGAATACTCAGATTTTCTGCCTAGGCTTTGAAATTTTATTCTTGCCGGGCGTTGGTGGCACACACCTTTAATCCCAGCACTCAGGAGGCAGAGGCAGGCGGATCTGTGTGAGTTCAAGGCCAGCCTGGTCTTCAGAGCGAGTGCCAGGATAGGCTACAAAGCTACACAAAGAAACCCTGTCTCGAAAAAAAAAAAAAAAAAACAAAAAAAACAAAAAAAAAAGAGAGAAAAGAAAAGAAGAGAAAATTTATTCTCTATTTTTAAATTTTAAGAATGTGCCAAAGTCCATTTGTCCCCTCACTCTCCTACCCCAGTCTTGTATACCTTCTGCTGTGTTAGGTCTGACCTTGATCACATCAACACTTCAAAGGCTTGGGATGCTTGGATAAGGTGGGGCTTTGTCTCTTTAGCAGAGTCCCCAAAGCCAAAGGACCTCATCACACTAACCCTAAATAGATTCCTATTTCAAAGTGGAGAGAGTGGTACAAAATCTAGATTTGATGTTCTGATCCACTCCACTGGGATGGATTCATCCCTTGTCACTACAGAGCCAGGCTTTCTCAGATGGTCCATGGCATCATGCCAGCAAGGCTACTCACAATCACTGGTCAAGAGGAGACACCAAAGCACTAGGACCTTTCTAGACAACACAGACAATTCGTTCCTTTAAATCTTGCCATTTAATCTCAGCGAAGGGAGTCTGGCCAAGAAGGGAGTAAACCCAGAAGACAAGAAGTCAAACTTCAAGACCATCAGACTTCTACCTAAAGACTAGTATCATCTGTGCATTGGCAGGATGAGCCCCTATACTTTCAATATTTAACTAAAGGCCTATGCATTGAAGGCTTGATCCCAGGGGTGGGACTTGAGAGCTTGTGGAAAATTCTTTGGTCATTGTGTGACCCTGAAGGGAACTGAGAGACACTGGTTCCTTTTTTTTTCCTGCTCTGACTCATGAGGAAGTCAGAATATTCTTCCTCCACATACTCCTTCCATCCTTCCGTAGTCTGCTTTCCCACTACAGGCCACAGCAATGGGATAAAGCAAGCACAGATTATAACCTCCAAAACCGTGAGCTGAAATCACTCTTTTCTCTTTATGAGTTATTTGTCTCAGGCATTCTGCTGTAGCATCAGGAGATCCTACAGAGCCTATGCCTTCCAGAATCTTCCATGCCAATATGCACTATCTGAAAATCAGAAAAGGATTCTATCCAAAAACTTGGACTAGAAATATAGCTCTATGGTGGAGTGTTTGCCTAACATCTGTGAGGCCCTAGATTCCCTCTCCCACAAAAAGGTAAAACAAGACCAAAACACCCTGCAAATATTTTTTCCTGGCTCCAGGAAGCCAAGCATAAACATTCTTGGTTTTCTTTTGTCCTCGCCATCCCAGCCCAGTGCCTGAGGATAAGTCAGAATCTTACCACTGTGTCCACTTCCCTGCAACACAGGCAGAGGAAACATCACCAGCCCATTGGGCCCGAGAGACATTGTCCTAGGTATTAGGCATTATAGAAACCCAAACAATGCTCTCATTGACTAAATGCTGTTCTAGTTCCTAAGAGGTTGTGAGACATAGTAAATGCATCCACCCAGTTGCTGAAAAGGTTTCTTTCATACGATGTACAAAATGTGTTGTTAGTCATTGGAGGCATTGTAACTCATTTAAACACATATCTGAATGAATCTTACTATTTTATCTGGGTGATGACATGATGTTTAGAATGTACCTGAAGCCAAGTCTAGCAGATAATATATATATTCCTTCCTAGACTGGCTGAAGGGCTACACTCCTAGGTCTCTTTTTTTTTTAATTTCTCAAAGCAAACCTCTCCTTGGTTTCACTCCAAACTTTTAAACTTTATTGACATTGTGTCAACTTTAGCTCAAACCTCACCACATGGAGTAGAATATCCAGAAATGGCTTACACATGAAAATCATTAAGCATTGGAGCATTCCAGCAATCCACTGACAACCTTCTCCAAAGGGATGTTTAATGAAACTTCCCCTAGTCTTACTGCCATGAGGGCAGACTCGTGTGCTTTCTTGTTTCTCCATTCCTAATAGAGACAATTCAGGGTTCTGGAAATGTAATAGTCAAATATATTGCTGCCTTACCAAGTTTTTTTTTAAGATTGAAAATGTTGGACAAAGACTACTAGGTGTTTTAGATGCCAGTGTGCTTGACTTTGAATCATTTACAGTCTAGTAAGAAATATAGTGTGTGTTTATGTTCAAACACGCATACACATATATACTGGGAAGTTTCCAAAGTTGGAACTTGAGAATGTAGGTAGCTGGTGTCTATGAAAGACAGCAAAAATCACGAGAGAAGAAAAGAGAAAATTTATTGAGCATTTGCAGAGTGCAGTAACTATATCTCATGGGGACTGTCTCCTCTGATCATCACACTAAGTCTTCATGGTCAAGAGAAACTTGGTTGTGAATCAAGGCTCATAGACTCACAAATACTGTCTACCTGTTGCCTAAGATGGCACACTAATGACGCACGCTGTTACACTCATTTTATTTAGGTGTTGTCCTCTGTATCACAGAGACTTTCCACTGCAAATGTTCATGTACATATATTGTAGACTAGATTTCCTCTTGTGCTGTCAGAATATCCTAGAGGTGAGGGTATCCACACTGCCTCAAACAAATGGTTACAGTTTCCACACTGGCTGATACAGTCAAACTTCAAGTAAGTCACAAGAAAATAAAGTTATAATCAGCCAACTGGAACTAATTTCTGTTCCTGCTAAAATGGCTCCAATTACCTGCTTACTTTATTTGCCTTTTCAGGAAAACCTAACTAAATAGTAGAGGAAAACTATGGATACTTTCTATCAAACCAAATCCTTTTGCAACCCCAATATAATAAGCAACAAAATGAAACTGCTCCAGGGGAGGCAAGGTAGAGCTAGATGGTTTTAGCCTGGCTCTGACTGGACACATGACAGTCCCCAAGCCTCTGCCTGTGACTCTCTTGATGCCATAGAGTATGGCTGTAGAAACAATTAGCATGAGAGCTACTAGACTATCAGAAAATAACACAGCCAGGACTTAAACTCCCCAGAATAAACAAAGCTTCCGATGCTGACCTCAACAGAGAGGAAGAAATCACAACAAACAGGACAAGGCTAGGTTCTAATTTCTTTAATCCCTTAACTGAAGATAGATAGCAGCCAGGATTCCATGCCTAAAGTCTATGTCCAAAGCAATTTTCTACAGGTATGGATAACAGGGAGGAAATTTCAACCCGTTCATCACAAGTATGAATATAAAAATGAACTTGATGTTATCCTCATTAAAGTATCAATTTAGACTATATCATTTCAAGTGCAATGAAGCAGAGCTGAAATTAGAAAGTTAATTATGATTCATTTTATTATTCTGATTTGGAGTTTACAGCTGCTTAGAAATTAAAATAGAAGAAAAGAGAGAAACAGGAGACTATAGTTGGGTCTAAAATCTTCTCCAGATGGGTGTGTTCAAGGCTGGACCCCAACAGAGTGGAACTTATAAGAGGTGATGCCTAATGAAAACGAAGTCCTCAAGTCACTTGTGTATCCCCTGGAGGGGACTGAGGAAGCCAGGCCCCTTCTTTCCCTCTTCAGTGTCCCAACTTCACCTTGCCATGAGTCCCCTCTAGTGGTGTGCTCTCACTTTAGGCCCCAAAGGACTGGGACCAACTGACGGTGGGTTGAAATTTCCAAGATCATAAAGCCAAAATAATGTTTTCCTTCTCTGTAAGCTTATTGCAGGTATCTTCTGTGTTGAAAAAAACCTGACTGTGACTAAAGAACAACCAGAACTCTGGAGAGCCTAGGCAGTAAGTCGGAAAGCAGGGCCTCCATTCACCGTGAGAAAATATACAAAGAACTCAGCTTCACAGAAGCAGGAAGTTGGGGTCTCCGTGGGCCCATGTCTCTGACAGTGTTGGGTAGGCTACGGCTGGCCACTGGAGACTTAATATAGGTAGAAAATGAGCATGTTGCCTTGGTGGTCTCCAAGTCATTAGCATATATTTTCTCCTAGTTGAGTTCCCAACCTGTCTTTTACATTTCAAATAACTCAAACTAGAATGAGCCACGGAGCTCTCTACATAAGTAAATGTAAATAAACAAGAAGGCTGACACTGCCACTAGGAAAAAAACCAAAAACAATTAGATAAACCAACTACTTATTAATGAAACCGAAATCATTAAAAATCAGAGAAATAAAGTACAAACCAAATGATGCAACTTTCAACCAAATAGACTGCAAAAACTTTAAAACTGAACTCAGCCCAAACTTAGGCAGGGGTGTGGGATTTTCATCTGGGGTGATGAGAAGGACAAAATTGTTTTCACTTGAGGTCTAGATGGATACAGAGAGCTGGGGTTGGGGATGTGAAGGAAAATGCAGAGTTCTAGTTTGAGCACCTTAATTTTGAGGTGTCTATAGGAGAGCCAAGCAGCAGTGCCAGGCAGGAGACTGGTTATGCAAGACTGGAAACAGTTAGGATTTAAGCAAGAGACATAAACTGTGAAGATGGCATCTAAATCCATGAGCTCACCAAAGGGGTGAGTGTGGATGACAAGAGAATAAGGTCTAAGACAGAGCAATGGCGGCTCCGCAGCTAAGAGCTCTCACTGCTCTTCCAAAGACCCCACACTGAGCGGCTCACAACCTCCTGCAACTCCAGTCCCAGGGACCTGATACCTTTCTCCAGTGCACAGACAGACTCCCCCGCGCACAGACACACACACACACACACACACACACACACACACACACACACACACACACACACGTGCATACATACAAAATAAATAATAAAATGAATTCTTTGTTTTTTGTTTTTGTTTTTGTTTTAGTTCAAAAGCTGACAGCTGGAGTTTCCCAAATTCACTGGAAGAGTTGAAGGAGAGATGGGCAAGAGACTGGAACAGGGCTGTGGGGAGTGAAGAGCAGAGGGTGTTGTCACGGCAAACAAGGAGGGGTAAGTGACCATGCTCAATGCCACTAACACGTAAACGATACAAGGACTCAGATTTTGTATTATAACAATGTAAGGACTTTGTCATTAGAAAGAAACATACAGATGGCATCAGAAGTTCTGTGGAAGGGCATTGTGTGGCTGGGACATGGGGCAGGTGGATGGCATTTCGCTAGACTATCACACTATGGCTTCTGCGTTTCTCTCCATGTGAATGTACTAGCCACATGAACGTATACTCGTAGACATTTACTTGTTTTAAAAACAGCAAGGGGCTGGATGCAGTTCAGTGATCTATAAGCGCTTGCTTAGTGCAGGCTTCCTGGCTTCCATCTCCAACACTAGAAAAACATTTAAACTTGTAAAACACAGATCAGGCCGAACTGAGGAGATAATTAATAAAACACATGTAAAAATGTGTACGGTCCTATACAGAGGTGCGTGAACTATGAAAGGGAGGTAAGGTATACACACGTAAGTGAGACAGTGTGTTATATATTGAATCTGCTCTTCACCAAGACAGAATAAAAACTATAGTTAGAGGACGTTTTCAAAAATACGTGGATTTTATCTAGTATAATTAGGTAACATGACCTGCATTGAATACAGTATTGGATATATTGGCAAAGATAATGGATACCCAAGATATTCCAGGCAGAAGGGCTGGGAGGGTCCATGCTCAAACCTAGCATAGTTGATGTGGCAAACAGCGAGGACAGAGTAAAGATTCTTAAAATGGCCAGAGAGGAAGAACGGGCCCCCTAACATAGAATGGCAAGGATGACAGTACATTCCACTAAAGCAACTGCAGATTCAAAAACACACTGGGATGAAATCTTCATCAATGTAAAAATATTTAACCGGCAAAATTATGCTTACAAAAGAGAGCGAGGTCAGTCATGGACAAGCACACAGAATGGGCAGTGTAACACCAAAATCTTTCACTCTTTTGTGCATAGTTACTTTCAATAAAGGAAAATGATGGGCTTACCTGTGTAAGAAAAGAGACTGAAGGAGAAATGCAGCTAAGTTTTGAGGTTTCAAGGGGTGCGTGCCTCTCCCAAGCATGGCATCCACCACCCTCCAAAACAAGAGGAGGTAGGCCCTTAGCCTTGACTGGGGCTGAATCTGGGCTCAGTTTTCTTTCAATAAAAGAAGTCTTTTTGTTGTAGAAGTTTTAAGCCAGGCAGGCAGGCCTTCACTGTGGAGTACTATACAAAAGGAATGGTCCTCTTTCTTGGAAAAAAAATCCGAAGGTAAATTCTGCACCTTCACAAAGTCTGAATTATTTGGTTTTCTTGCTTTTGTTTTAATTTGATTATTTGATTTGGTGGCAGGGAAGAGCTTCTTCCTTCAACTTCATACTAGGAAATTTTTTTTAAAGATATGTTTTCATATATTCCCCAGGGGAGGAGGAGAAGTGATACAGTTGACATATAACACAACAGCATGGAAATATGCAGAGATGTGATTGAAAGGTAGATCTAAGAAGATCCCAGAGGGAGGCGTAGAGTGTAAGCAGAAGTCTGGGATAAATACACACTAGGCTAGGAAACACACTGATCCAGAAGGGGACAATAGACAGCACAGGAAGACAGCTTCTCCTCTGTACTCAGTGGCTAGCAGCATCCAGCACTAAAGAGAGCCCATCACTATCAGACCTGCTATGGCTGAGCTGGCCTCTGCCTTTGACCCTATGACCCAGCATGGCTCTGGGAACACAGCATGACGAGTCTTGATTTTCTTTTTATCTTTCTGTTGTGTATCTATCCTCACTCTTTTAAAACAAAGCAATCAATCACATTCTAGTTGCCTCACTAGTACCTAGACCAGACTTTTCCGAACTCTACCAACATGACACTCAGTATACTGTCGCTGGTAGAAGGTGGCTCTGAACGTACCACTGATGGCAAGTTTGTGGGATGAGGGAATCTGCACTTTGCGATAGGACCAGTTTGGTACAGATGTTTATACAACACCAGGCTCTCTACAAGGCTCTCTGGAGGAAAAAGTTGTTACAACAGTTTCTGAGACCTACCCTGCAGTATCACTTACTCTTTTCATTTCTAAAATAGCTTTAACTTGAAGCCACAAGTGAATGAGAACAAACACCAGAATAAAGCACCACAGACATTAGTTTGGTGAGGAGAAAGGTAAAACAACAAAACAATGACAAAGAATCCTGAGCCACTGACCATCAGTGAAATAAAAACTGTCTGGGAGCTCATAGGTCTAGAAAACGTCAGATGTCCTGCAAAAGTCTCCTCCTCACACTATGCCGCCAAATGCCTAAGTTGTGATGCAAACTGATAAGCCTTGGCACTCACATGGGTTTCTCATTTTTGCAGTCTCTATGCAAACTCGAAGTGATTCCTCCTGACAACACTCCTTGGAGAGATACTGGTCTGGAGCCAGCCAGAGTGTGTGCGCCCTCGTGCCGATTGCATAAGTTCACACACACTCCCATCCCTTTCCTCCACAATTTCCCATCATCTGTGGTTTAAATTCTCATGACAGGTTTTAGGCAAATTCTGCTCTTCAAACTGTGCCTCTGTCCCCTCCAGGATTATGTCTCTCCTCAGAGTTACTGGCTTTGGTTTTATGTTCCAATGTATCCCATGATTCCCATCTGAACTTGAGGAAGTTTAATGGCCCCCGGATCCTACATACTACGCAAAATAAACATCCCTCCATGTCCATAAAGTGATAAGTCACATCCCGCCTTTCAGGATAGTTCCCACAAAATAGAGTGAA